TGTGAAAATTCTCAATTTTATTTTTTACATTTTTAACTTTATAATGCTATAACTTATTGAAAAGTGTATTGATCAATATAATTTTTTTATGGGAAATACTATTTTTTAATATTCCTTTTTTCATTCGACATACTTTATCTTAATCAGGATATTAATAAGGAACTAGCAGTTTATGAAGTTTTTGGAATAATCCACCAATTTTTTAAAATTAAACACTATCTAAAGATTTGCATCGAAGCGTTTTTTTTTGATAGTGATTTTAATCACTGTCAGATATCATTATACTTAATCCAACTATGCCACGTCACCACTGTGCCGCGACCCCCCTTTGCTGGGTTTTTTAACTTTATAATGCTATGACATATTGAAAAGTGTATGGATCAACATTATTTTTTTATGAGAAATAATATTTTTTTTATTTTTAACTTTATAATGCTATAACTTATTGAAAAGTGTATGGATTAACATAATTTTTTTATGAGATATAATAATTTTTAATAATCCCTTTTTCATTCGATATACTTTATCTTAATCGAAATATTAATAACGAACTAGCGGATTATGTTGCTTTTGGAATAATCTACCTATTTTTTTAAATTAAACACTATCTAAAGATTTGCATCGAAGCGTTTTTTATGATAGTGATTTTAATCACTGTCAGATATCATTATAATTGATCCAAATATGTCACGTCACCATTGTGCCACGACCCCCTTGTGCTGGGGTTTTTTTTAAATTTACAAACATTTTTTTTTTTAACTCTTATAATGTCAACATTTTTTTTTCAAATAGAAACATACATAAATAATTGGCTTATTTATTAGACGATGATTTAATTAATAAAATGATTAGTTGATAACAACTTTTGTAGTTATTAGTATTTTTTATCATTAAATGAGGAGAAATACGACCCATAGAGTAATTGAAGGGCTTGGAGCAACAACCAGATAAATCCACTTTTTTTCAAAACTCACTTTTTTATGGAAATGTATAAAGAAAATTATTCTTGAAATTCAGACGCAACAACTAGTTAAATCCGGATTTATCTGACATTTTTAGAAAATTAAGTTGTTATTTAGTATTTATACATAATCATAGCATTAAAAATCTAAATACATTTAAGAATAAAATTGACTTCATTTGAGTACTAATAAAAAATAAAGTGTTTTTCAGTGCAACAACCAGATAAATCCATGCTCCCTTCAACTTTGACTACCAATATTTCAATATTCATATTTTTTTTTTCAAATGTAACTTCAAATATGTATGTAAAAATAAATGTAAAATTCAAATACATTTTGTTGACAATATTTTAGTATAAATAATAGTTTTTAAACAAAATTTACATTGTCCTGAAAAATGTCAAAGAGTGGATTTATCTGGTTGTTGCAGCAAGCCCTTCAATTACTCTATGATACGCCTGTAAATGTTTAGTGATAAAAATATCAAAACCGTACCTTTAGTTATTAACAGTTTAGTAATGTCTAAAGGTGAGTTGTGGGTTGTGTTATTTTTATCACTAGACATTTATAGTTCGCATTTCTCCTAGCTATACAAATGCTAATAATTCCCAAAATAATGGTCATTTTCTTAGTTAGATAATTTTATATTTATTTATTTTATGGAGTTAGTTAAATATGAAAATAACTATTTGAAAAAATTAATGTTGACACCATTATAATAAAACTAAAGGGTGAACATAAAAAATACTCCATAGTTGAAGTTAAAAAAAACAAATTCTCAATATTATGTTAATTTTTAGATTAATTGAGTTCTCAATGATAAAAGAAAGGTAATAAATATAAGACTAAATAATTATTACAGCTTACAGGCAGATATAATATAAGTTAAATATTGCTGCCTTTATAGTTTTAAATAATTTAAAATAAAAATTTGGTAAATACTTGCATATTTATTTTATTAAAAAATTTGTACATTATTATTTAAATCAAAATTTTGTGTCAACAAACAAGAAAAAAAATTACAGTTTTTTAAAAATTTATCAATTATCATAGCACGGCCTGAATTTTTCTCTTGAATTTCCGATTTTATTGTCTAAAAAAAGAAAATATATTATCAAGGAATTGTAAAAAATGTTTATAGTTTGAAGGTGATAGGTATATAAATTAATGTACAAACTCGTAACCAGAAAATTTCTGTCATTTAAATATTTTGTCATAGAAAACATGCATGGCTTATTTTACTTTATACCTAATGCATTTTGGGAAAGAGGAGTGGGTTTTGAATTAAGGTGCACGTAATAATGTCAGGGAGTACTTAGCATACATAGTTTTTTTTGCAATTTAAAGTGAATAACAATGAAATTTAATGTTTTATATTACGTTAAAATATAACGACTTAAACATTGAACACAAAACGCTAACCGGCTATTAGATCATTTATATATTGATACATTTATAAATATTATGTTTTTCAAATAAGGTTTTATTTAAAAAAATATTTCTATTCATCATAACTATATTGCAGTACAAAATATAATTGTTTATTGATTTATTTCAACTTTTTTTTTTTTACTTTATAAAAATAATGGTATTTTTAGTTGATGGGTTAGGTTCAGTGTCCAGTCTGGACCCAGTGGCGTGTTTACGGGGGGGTTATCTAAAACCCCACACAATATTTCTAAATTTGTCAGTGCCTAGGTCAATTGTATTTAACAAAATTTATGATGGTTGTAAATATACAATTATTTGTAAAATTATTTTATAAAATCTATCAAATATTTATTTACGAAGTTTAAATTAGCATACAACTTATAATAGTATTTAATTAAATTACTTCATAATTTCTACGACTTCTTAAATTAAATTTAGCTGTTCCTAAACCAACCGTTCCTGCTGCTGGTGTTGCCGAACCGCCGATTCCAGTACTTAAGAGACTTCCTGTTGTTACTCCAGGTCCAAATAGACCAGAAAGTCCAGTTCCTAATAAACCCGTTGTTCCAAGTAGCCCCGTCCCAAGTACGCCATTGACTCCTCCTAAGATTGACGGAATTGCTCCATTGCCGAAGTTACCACCAAAGACACCAGTTCCAAAACTTGGTCCTCCAAAATTATTATATCCGTTACCAAATCCTCCATTAAAACCATTGTATCCATTATTTGAAAATGGTCCAGCAAAGAAAGACCTCAAAGTTGGCATTAGTAAAATAAGAAGGGCGTGAAGAAGAAAAGCAAGGAACGCTAGCAAAGTTATTAATGTTGAAGGTTCTAGACCCACGCTGAAATAAAATAAAATTTGAAAATATTTAATTAATTATTTAGTAATTAACAATAACAGATGCTTAATAAATATTAAATAAAATGTATTTAAATAATATACAAATATGAATATCTTTGGTTTTTTTGTTGTTGTTAAATATCAACTAAAAGAATACTTTTATCACATAGCAGATGTGTCATATATAAATAGTAAAGCTGAAAAAATGTATAAAATAGTAAAAGAGGTTGAACAAAACTACTTGAATAGTTAATATTTATTAAATAGGATATTTTCAAAAAAAAAAAAAAAACTACAAGCAGAATTTTTACCTGGTTCCTCTTTGGGGACCATATTCAATACCATAATATGATTTATCAACGTTAGCTGGATCCATTACAAAACGCAACTAAAGTCTTTTAAAATATTTATTCAACTGTTATAGAATTTTTGATGGTCAATTTTCAAGTAGTAATGCACAGAATAATTTATGAAATATATGTTGATTTACTGTACTTTATTCTATTTATCTATCCGTTACATATTCCATTACCGTAATTCTTGACAAATAATGTCATAAGCAGTATAAATAAAATAAAATTAGTGTGTATGTCAGTCACTAATTATATTCTATGACATTATAATAACTTTTATTCAGTCAATTCTATGAGTCTTTATTTAAGAAAAAATACATTTAATATAAAACAAATTATTTTTAAACGTAATGTATTTAATAAAAACTTGAATGAAAAAAGTCGCTCCAATAATTAGCGGTTTTCGAAATTGTTTTAATAATTTGTTTAATTTTACGAATTCCGTCTCTATGAGGATTATTTAAAATTTCAATTAAATTATGATTATTTTAGAATTTTAAAATTATTTCTTCAATTAACATATTTTCTTATTCGAAGTATACATTCTCATCTAATGACTTATAATTTGCATTGCTTTATAAAATTATATTAATAACCAAGAACATAGTAATAAAATACTTAAATATGCAGTTTCGATGCTATTAGTCGCAAGCATTAGGGCAAATCATTTTTGTAGGATTCTCATTATTTTGTTTTGTAAATTAAGAAGACCTTTTTCTGTACTCATTAACTCGATTAGCAGGAAAATAATCCGTCACCCACTAGCATACAAAGTAATTAATGTCGGCAATTGTTTAAAAAGGTTTGTTGAATTAATACGTTTCACCAATAGAAGCTTTTGATTATTTTGACTGTCAAATTGATGTACTGTTTAAAAATATGTATTACTTGAAATTCGAAAATTGTTTATAATCTATTAAATACTACATCATCTTATTAATAGTTTGATTTATCAATTAGGCTAAAAAAACAAATATCAGCTAATCTAACAAATCTTATCGTTTTATAATTCAAACTTTTTAAATATTTTAGACTGAAAATTAATTTTTTACTTCTCTAGTGAAAAATGAATTTTATCTTTACATTAATAAGAATATAAAAATTTAAAATATTTATATCTTACCTTAACCACTCTTAACTCAAAAATTAAAAGTTTCATAATTTCACAGTTACAACTCTGTAGTTTATTCTCCAAAAACTGGCGAATTACAAAAATTAAGTTTTAAGATTATTCATTACTTGTACGAAGAATGGTATTTTCTTTGTTAATCAGAAAATAACATATTAATTATTTTGGGAAAGTAGTTTTTTTACATTTTTAAATCCCAAAACTTTTTTTAAATACTGCTTTGCATTAGTCACAATTACATTTATAATATTAACATAGTATATCTGCGCTTTCATTTTTATTTGTTTTTGTTTTGTAGGAAATCGATAAAATAGACATATCAGCGTATGAAAAAATAAAAATAAAAACCTAATACTAGTTAAATTCATAATTTGTTCAACTTTGTTTATTAAGAGAGTTTTACAATAATTGTAAAATAAATAAATCTTAAAATTATTATTAGAATGCCTCAGAGATAGAAAGTTAGGAATTATTAATAAAAAAAAAATTATTTTTTCAAATTTGATTTTTGGATAATAATTAAAATAGTCTTCTACCTAAAAGTTAAATTTCAATTGTAAGATTACGTTTTTGTTAGTTTTACAAGATAAATGTTAAATTTAATCATAATTATTTTAGTAGTCGATAACTACTAAAATAGTCGTAAAATGAGGGGTGGTAGGGGCTTGTCTACCTAAGAAATTTAGCAAAATTGTATGCATTTGCATATAAATTTGACAAAAATTATTTTTTTGGACAGGGAAAAATTTAATTAGTCCCCTAAAAAATTTGATCATCCTACTCCTATTGTAGTCGTCATTTATTACCCATAACTATTTTAATTTAACTTTTTACAGCTAATTGATATTGCGTTATCGAAATAAATTAATATTTTGAATAATTTATTAATGTATTATTATTTATTATAGGATTAGATACAATAGTATTGGTTTAATTCATTTAATGACTACCATTACTATTGCTAGTAAATAAAAATGTTAGAAAAGGCAGTCAAATATTGTGGTATTATTAATACCATAGTATTATAGATATTATATATAGATAGCGCTTTAGTTGATAACGTCTATCATTACTTATTTAATATCTTAGATAACAAGTATATTTTCGATATTAATTTATGTCAACTATTAGTATTCAGCAGTAGGGCACTGCGTAGTGTTTACTGTTAGGTAATATTAGGTTCATTCAGATGCATTATTCATTAGTGTTTGCGTTTTTGTACTACAAGTAGTAGTTATACTTCGAGTACATGACGGCTACATTTGTTTGTCAACATCTTCACTTTCACTTATGTTATATTTTCAGTTTTTTGAAATAATCTAGATATTTGAATACCGCGTTAATGTAGACGGAAATTTTATTTAATTATCATTAATCCATTTATTCGAGATTCAGTTATTTGAATAAACAAGGTAAATTTTTTATGGTATTATTAGTTGACTTAACCCATATTCAACGATAGGTAACTTCTACATATAAGTTACTTATTTTAAAATGAATTATTGTGTAAAAAAAGAAAATTATTTATTCATGTATAGTTTTATGAATAAAACATCCTTGTGAAATACATTTATAGGTACCATTTGTTGATATAAACTAATAAGAATTTGTGAACTGTTATTATTATTTTAATTTGTTATGAATCTTATCTCATAGGTTTATAAGATAATCACCATGTTGTTGATTTTTGAATTAAGACTTAAAGAAATTAATCTTATATTTTAAATTCTAATATATGGTTATGAATTTAAAATACTTATTACATGGATATTTTTTATTTTTAAAAATTGTTTAATTTTAAAGATAATATCTAGGGTGATAGATTTATAATGATCTACTCGATTATTCTTAAAATAAATGCAATATTAAAAAAAATAAATTTTCTTTTCTTTAATTGAATATATTTCTTGATTTTTTATAAAATAATTACTTTAAAAAATCATTCTTTATAACTTAAAAGGGTGTCAAATTAATTTTTTGTCAATGGTAACATACATATTTAACTAGATTATGAAATAGAAAATAATCTGATTAAGACTGGTTGATAATAACTTTTGAACCAGTACCTTGAAAGTTATTTTCATTTTTATACTTAGGTGGGACGAAGAGTACGGCTGGGAAATGACTAGTGATAATAATAGTAGCATCCATTCTTTACCTTCATTACTTTTAATTGTAAAAGACTTCTGAATTACTGGTCCAAAAGTTGTTATTGACCAGTCATTTTCTTAATTATTTAATTATCTATTAAATAAGCTTATTAAATATGTATATTACCATTTAGAAAAATTAAGTTGACACCCTTTTAAAATATAGGGAATGATTATATAAAGAAATTATTAGCTGATAAATCAAGTATTATATGCAACTAAAAGAAATCAAAAGTTATTTAAACAATATTGTATTTTTTTTTTTGCGACTAATCACGTTCATAATAAACTGATCACTATATATTTTTAAATTATGCTATACGGAAAATAGAACTTATATAAGTGTACATATTTTATAAATAATAGTTTTATTGTTTAGGATTGTTAAGTTTCTAAATTTTTTATTTCTCAAAACTTTTTAAAATATATTTATTGAAGAATTATATTAATTTAAAAACACTAAAATATTTTTTTTCAAAATACCATGGAAATGTTTTCCATTAAATAGTATTTTTTTGTATTATGAAGTTATGTTAAAAAAATGAATCAAAAACTAATTAAAAAAATTAAGTGTATTTTTTTTAATATGTTGAAAGAAATAGCTATATTGGTTTCTTGAATATTTGAAAATACTTATGATTAAATTTGATTGAGTTACAAGAAATAAAAATAATTATTTAAATTAATGTTTAACTAGGCTGATCTAATTTACATGGAACATAAGCTTACAATGTAGATGTTGTAGTTATGACAGTTGATGACCCATTTCCTTTCCTTTGTTTAAATAGTTTGAATAGTTATACCTGTTATAATTGTTAAATTATGTTGACCAACATGCATAACTGTTATTATTTTTAAAAAAGTTATGTCTTTTTTTAGTGAATATTGATTATATTGAGACATTATCTATAATAAAAAATTATCTTGGTAATTTATATATAATTTTTAATATAAAGTTGATGAAAAAAAAATTATTTATGTATATATGTTTTTTTTCATCTGATTATATAACTATATATTATCTGCAGATATTTATCTGCTATAATTAATTATATAATAAATCAAATCAAATTGTTATTTATCAGATACATTTTAAAATTAATAATATATACTTCTTAATTTAAAATTTATCATATTAGCTTCGATGTGAAGCTGTGAAGGTATTAATTTTTCTATGATGTTTTTTTTTTTATAATATATTATGATTATTGAAAACATACATTTTCCCTATAAATTTTACAAAATCGTATTATCAAATATATTTAAATATAAGTTAGTCTCCTTAAAAAAAAAACTGAATTAATTCAAAAGTAGTTGATAAGCATTACAATATTAATAATTTATCATTGTAATTAAAACTAATATTTAGATATATTATTAATTTTAATTTAAAATTTTTTATAACATAAAAGACCTTATTAATATTACAAGGTTTCAATTGTCTCATTTATGTTGTTCACCTTGTTTCTATATGTTAAATGACTTCAACTTAACAATATTTACAATCATTTTTCTTTGATTTTAAAAATACTGTAAATAATTTTTTGTTAAATATATTTACTAAAATATATGTATTTTTTTAATTTTGTGATTAAATTCATATATTATAATAGTAATTTTAAGAAAAAATTTAGTTAAAATTTTTATTTTACTTTGAATCAAAATTTTATTTAAAATAATTTTAATTGTTTTTTGTAGATTTAAGTCAATATGGCTGAAGCTCACTCAGCTGTAGCATTTTCATTTTCAATTACCCATGAAGGATGGGATGTTAATGTTGATCGTGAAGTACTTAATCTTGTTTGGGCTTCTGGTATTCGGTCATGGAAGAAGCGTTTAGCTAGATTTAAAGTAGTATTCATTTTATAGAATTCATACATTATCTTGTCCTATTATAATCTGTGTTTAATTTATCAATGTTAGAATAGCGTGCGTAATGGAATTTTCCCTGCTCCATTACAAAGTCTTTGGGCAATGATGGGAATTGTGTTTAGTCTTCGTTATATAAATAATACATTTGAAAAATATACTGATGTCATACTTTCATTCTTACCTGCGTAATAATTTGAAATTTTTTATTTTTTGGTCAAATTTTCATATATTTTTGTTTTACAGGCATACATTTTTATGGAAAATTGTTTCATACTTTGTATTGTCATTACTTATTTGGTTAATTATAATCTACATTATTCGATATACTCTTAAACTTTTATTTATGTACAAAGGTATTATTATAATTAAAAAAAAAAGGAATATATTATTAGAAAAAATATTTTTTAGGTTGGATGTATGAAAATAGAGGAAGTAAACAGGTGTCATTACCAACTCGCCTTTGGGCTTTATCTGTTAAATTACTTTCTACTTCTAGTAAACCATTACTGTATAGTTATCAAGGTTCATTGCCAAAACTTCCTTTGCCACCAGTCAATGATACTATGAAAAGAGTAATTGTTTTTTGTATCTTAATAAAATTATTTTTATGTAGAACTAAATTTTAATGTCAAAGTAGAATTATTGATTATCTTGGCGTATTGAAAAATTCTTTATTTTTATTTGATTATTCAAGTCTTATTTTATTTTGTAAAATTTTTTTTATTAATTGCATTGTTATTATTATTTATTGTATTTATTTTACTAGAATCTATATGAATGAAAAACTTCATTTATTTTTCAGTATTTAAAAAGTGTTCGACCTTTATTAAATGATTCAGAATATGAAAGCATGGTAAAATTAGCAAATGAATTTGAAAATGGTATTGCTGTTAAGCTGCAGCGTTATTTATGCCTAAAATCTTGGTTTGTATTAATTTCATTATATGAGTTTCATAAGAACAAGATTTTATAATGCATTTTAATTTTGTTTTTTATTATGGAATTAAAATCTATTATTATGTTAACTTATACTGTCCAATATTATGTTGTTAATTTATTCTTGTTTATTATTATTATTTCATGTAGGTGGTCTAGCAATTATGTATCAGATTGGTGGGAAGAGTATGTCTATTTAAGAAGTCGAACCCCACTTATAGTTAATTCAAATTTTTATGGTATTGATGCTATTAAAATACATGCTACTAATGTGCAAGCTGCTCGTGCTGCCATGATTATTTGGCAGTGCTTACAGTATAGAAGACTTATTGAACGTCAAGAACTTGAACCGGTAAATGTGTTTTTAATAAACAGTATTTTATATTTTATTTGATATTTTAAATAATTAATATTCTATAATCTACTTTTTTAGATAAGAATTCAAGGACTAGTTCCTTTATGCTCTTGGCAGTATGAAAGGATATTTAACACTACACGCGTGCCAGGTGTTGTAAGTGACAAAATTATTCATTATAATGATAGTAGACATGTTGTTGTTTATCATGCTGGAAGATATTTTAAAGTTATCATTTATCATCAGAATCGTATACTTCAACCTTGTGAAATTGAAGTGTAGGTTAATTATTATACTAATTAATATTATAAGTTTAGTATAAAACTAATATAATTATTAATAGACAAATTCAATCTATCCTTGATAACAATGAAAAACCATACATAGGAGAAGAAAAAGTAGCTGCTCTAACTGCTGCAGATCGTTCAGCTTGGGCAAATGCTCGAACTGAATTTTTTTTCAAAGGCATTAACCGACAAAGTTTAGATGCTATTGAAAAATCTGCATTTGTAGTTGCACTAGATGATGTTCCATATGACTATGACCCTGTGAGTAATAAATTACTATTCAGTTACATATTGAATTTATCATTTAACTTAATTATCTTAACATCATTCACTTATAATTGAATGAACCTAATTGGTGTAGTATCCATAGTTTTGATTCTCCTGACCAATTTTGGTGTCTTTAGATCACACTATTACAATAGTTCAGATATATATTCAAAATTCTATATTCTGATTTATTAGTCATAATTTTTAGTAATCAAACAAACCATGTTTTTATATTTTTGTATGTTTGCATCATACTTAAATAAAAGTATTTTTAAGTTATTTTTTTGCATTTAAAAAATTATAGCTATTCTTAACTTTGATGAACTGAACTTAACTTTAACTCAGAGAAATTTGTTTCGTGATGAGGTTTTTTTCATATATCGGCTAAACAAAATTTTCAGCTTTCACTGATGGTTTTAATGGTTAAAACGTCAAAAAACCTAATTTTAATTTAGCTGAACCTATTGGCGTAATTCAAATAAATTGAGTGTATTTTAAAACTTTTTTTAAATACTGATCATTGAACTTTCAACATTAGAGACAATAAGATTTTAGTTTCGATGCGAAGCTGAAAAGGTATTGGTTTTACTATGATGTGTATTTTTTTTTTTTTGTGCCTCTTACCACTTTTTCTAAGCTCTCAGTGCACAGATTTCTTTCAACGATATGTCAAAAAATCACAAATCGTATCTAGCCGAAGATATTACCCTTAAAAATTGAAAAAATTTCCACTTTATCAATGAAAATTTTACTTTGCTCACATTCTCCATATAGACAATTAAAATCTTTAATTTTTAATGTTTTAAAAGTATTTATTGTCAAATTAGGTTTGTTATGATAATAGTAATAATATGTAATAAATTAAAAACAATTTTTTTGGGTTTTTAATTATTTTTTTATTGTAATAAATCATTTCAAAAGAAATATTAATAATTTCTATGTAATAATTTCTAAACCCATCTCAATCAAACCTAACTCTTGGTGTTTAAATAGATGATACAATTGAAATATTCAGAACTATTTTCCTTATAGTTATATCCTATAGTTACTAACTAATTAGTAATATTATCAAAAATTTTTAGTGATGGAAAGATATAATTGCTGATTTGACATTTGCACAAAAAATTGAATAATAAAAGTTTATTTTTGATTCTAATGGAAATTTTTTGCAGACCATTTATTCAGAATTAACAATAAATTATTATCTAAAAAGTTCTGCGTCAAGCCCTTCAATTTTTATACAAGTTTGCCATAAAAGTAATAACTACCTTATAATTTTTTATAAATTCTCCAAAAAATTTGTAATACTAAATTATTAAATATAAATTTTATACTACGTTGAATTGCTTTAATTATTATTAATAATAATAATTTATAAATATTTATTCATAAATTATACTTATAAATCAACTACTAATTAGAAATAATGATAGAAATAGAAGTTAATTTTGCTTTTAGAATAATGAATTTAAAATTTTTTAAAATTAAAGACTATCTACAGATTTGTATCAAAGTGTTTTTTATGATAGTGATTTTAATCACTGTTAGATATCATCTATACTGGACCCAACTATACCACATCCCCACTGTACCATGACCCTCTCTGCTGGGTTTTTTTTAGCATGTTTTGTATGAAGATCCTATGAAAACCCATAGTACTACTAGAGTTTGAAAGAAATCTCCCATTTATGAAACAATTGTTTTCTACTCAATTTTTGAAAATGATTCAGAAGATCTGACAATTTTTTATCTCTAACAAATTAAAACTCTTGAAATGTACTACAATATTAAAAAAAAATCAATTATAAAATTGTTTTACTACGTAAAATTTCACACCTAAGTAAAAAACTTTTTTTATTTTAAATTAAGTAAATGGTTTATTGTATTATTCACTTATCTTAGATAGAAAATTCCTTTTGTAAAAGAATTCATTCAATGCCTCATTCCTTTGAATAAAATTGTTTAAATTTTTTTTTACATATATAATTAATATTATTACTATAGAGGAATATATGGGGCAAATTGGTGTGTACATTGGATAAAATAGGATACTGCGCTATCTCAAAGTTAAAGGTTCAAGTAAATTTTAAAAGATTGTTAAAACATTTTATTAATTTTGAATTTATTATTTATAATACAATTATTATGATGAGCATTAAACTTTAAAATATTTTTCAAGTTATCTATTTTTTGTTATTTGGGGAAAAAACCAAGAAAATTTCAATAAGTTTAAAAGATAAGTTTTATTAATTTTTAGCTTAGATGTAAAGACCTCTAATAATATTAATTTTACCATGATGTTATTTTTTTAAGTGCATGAAAATTCTTAGCTCTCGTTAGACTTAATTTTAATGCAGATGAACCTAGTATCATCAAAAATTTGATAAACTCCATCATTTTTGGAAATTAAAAAAAATATTTCAAAGTTACACTACAGTAAAAATTAGCATTTTTCAAATTTTTTTCTGCATTTTAAAACACTTATTTTAATTAAATTTAATAGAGTATATAAAAGACAATAATCTTTCTTTTGGGGTGTTTTTTTTATAAAAATCTGATGGAAAACCTAAGTACTAAAAGGACCACCTATGTATGAAAATTTTACTTTTTCAACATACTTTTTGGAAATCTGTTCCATATGGATCACATTCTTTAACAACACTACCTAACTAAATGTGTATTTTTAAAATTTATTTTGCATACACTATATTGTGTTTTTAATTCAATTTATAATGTTTTGTAATAATTTTGATAAGTATGACTCAAAAAAATTGGATGAATATGGAAGAATTTTAATGACAGGCAAAGGTTATGACCGTTGGTTTGATAAATCATTTACTCTTTGTATTGGTTCAAATGGAAGAGTAAGTATGCACTAACTTTGCACTAACTTTTTTTCTTTTTTTTAATTAATCATTTATTTTTAGGTTGGTTTTAATGCTGAACATTCATGGTAAGTGTTGTAATTTAAAGTTAAAAGGCAATGGAAAATTTTATTAATTACACATATTTTAGCCAAGTACAGATATAGTGCTGACCACAGAAAATTATGTGCCCATTAAGAGACTTTATATATAACTTGTTAATTCTAATCATTTGATTAGCATTGAGAGAGATATTTTACAAAAATCACTCTGTTTTCAATCATTTGATTAATTTGCCACAGTGCTCCATACTTCCCTTATGTAACTTAATTCTTTTAACTCTTTGTAGCTATCATATTCTATGTCTACCATGATTTACCTCTTATATCTCGTCCGTGATCTTCCTATTTAAATATAACCTTCTATAATGCTTTTGTTAGTAAGTAGTAAAGTTTTTTGATTTTTGAGTGCGCCGAGTCGTTTTTTCCTCATTTTAGGAATTCCTCTGCTGTTTACACTAATCATCTAGCCATTCTTCTTTAATATTTTTATCTTCCTTTGTATTTCATTTTGTATACATTTGTAATTTTATTGTTTTTGAATATTATTCTGACTCTTTTATTCTTTTTCTTTCATTTATAAGTTTGACTATTCATATGTAATCCAAGGTTTTTTGGCTTCTTTCTTTTAGATCCCAATTACTTAACTTTTTTTCTTAATAATATTCCGCTTTTCTTCTACTGTATGGCTATTAATTATTTTTAAATTGAGGAATTCTTTATGATATTTCTTTTTAAATTTTATTTTCTTCTCTATTTTCAGTATCTTTAAACTAAATTTTTTTGTATTTCCATCTCTTTTAATTTTTTTATACTTAAGTTTTATTTTGATGATAATTAGGTTATGATCATTGTTAATGTTAGCACCAGAATAAGTTTTATATTGTTTAACTTGATTCCTGAGGTGTTTTTTAGTCATAATATAATCTATTTGACATCTTTATGTATCTCTTACATAGCTGTCTTTATTTTTCCAAGTATAAATTCTACTTTTGTGGTGTTGGATCATAGTGTTCACAATTTTTTGGATACAAAATTATATTAATTTTCACCCTTTTTCATTTTTATTACCTAGAACATAGCTTACTATTATGTCTCCTTCTTTTTCTTGTATTCCAGTTACCCAAACTATAACATTATCATCTTTATTTAGTTATTTCTATTATTTCATCTATATTATTGTATATTTTTTCAATTTCTTTTGCATGTATATTTGTATAATCATTGTAATGGCAGATTTAGAATTAATTATAATTTTAATTTTAGCTTTGATAATAGATAATTACACTTTCACATAATACCAATGTTTAGTCTTCTCATTTCTAGCTTTCTTTACAAGGATCTAACATTTCATCAAATGTGTACTCTATTAAAATTTTGTTTACTGTACTCAATGCAGTCTTCATCTGGTCATTCAAATAGGAGATTATTTAACAATGAGTTGTCAATCCATAACTACAAAAGATACTAGGGATAATAAAGTAGTGGTCTCGCACTGTGTGGTTTTGTAATAGTTAAGATGGTTGTCATCTACACTTATAAATATTTGTTATGTAGTTGTACAAATCCCTTTGATATCCATTGACATCCAATATTGGAGAATCTGCTTCCCTTTTTTATTTAGTCCCTTTAGTCGCTTTTTAAAACAAGCTGGGATTACTCTATGCATATACTATTCTAGGACCAAGACAAATTAAGTTTTTAAAATCCCTTAGTATACTTTATCATTGATTAGTATATTTGATTTATAATGCTATCAAATTATCTTACAAATACATTTTTTTTTTTCGTTATTCATTTAAAAACATCCTTATGCTAAGTTAGTACATAGTTCTCTTAAGGCACAAACTGCATGTTATATTCAATTTTTGTGATGTCTTTAAAGCAATAATGCTTTTAAATATCATATGAAGCTATGTGTTTTGAATTTGCACTCTAAGTATTACTGTTACAGGGCTGATGCAGCTGTAATGTCTCATCTATGGGAGTTCATAATTTTTGACGAAGCTGCAAAATCTGGGTAACTGAATGGTTGTGGGTTTAAATAATTGTAGGACTTTCTTTAATTATTTTACCTGTATTAATGATGCATTTATTAAAAATCATTTTTATAGCTTTGGTAGAATTTTCAAAAATTTGGTTAAAATCATTCTGTTGCATTTATAATGGGTTAAATTTCTAAAAATTATATTAAACCTGCATGTCAATCATATTTTTAAATAAGCTACTGCCATTTTTATACCAAAAAGCTTTATTCAAAACACAATTAAATGAAATAACTTTGTTTAAGATATCATTTAATATTAAAATAAATAGCAAGGTGAAAGTTTCTTTTACTACAGGGCAGATGCTCCAGTCATGGGTCATTTGTGGGAATATTTTCTTTGCGGAGATTTAATTGTAGGGTAATAACAATATTATTTAACTAATTATTGTCATTTCATATTTATTAATTATTTCCACAAAAAACATTGTGCTTCTAACTTTATGGAAGATATTCAAAAATTTGTTTTTATTTTTGTTAAAAATATCCAAAGCTAATAAAAATTAGAATATTTAGTTGTTCAAAGTGATTTTAAATAAAAAGTAATTTTTTATTTAAAGTTGCATTTGGATATTTTCTTGTATTATTTAATTTTGTGACGTATTAGTTATAAATTAAGAAATTCATACTGTTCATACATAATGGGTTGATTTTATTAGCTTTGATTATATTTATTTAAAATAATTTTATACATTAAAGATTTCTTACATTTTTATCAATTAAATTGCATATTAACATTATAAATTTATTCAAATTTTGGTGTAAAGTTATCTCTTTGATCTTCATATATACTTTATTTATTACTAAAATAACATTTTTTTTAAATGCAACCTAATTAATATTTAACCACATTACCACAAGGATAAAATATTTATTTTTGAATAAATTGAAATCTCTGAAAAATGATTATCATAATAATTGATTAAAGATTTGTTCTGAAACCAAATTTTATTATAAAATGTGTAATTTATATGGTAACTATTATAATAGTAATTATTTGAATTTGCTAAAATTGTGTACAATTTAGATTCTCATAATCCAAAAATCGAACTATGTTTATAAAAACGTTGATTATTTGAGGGTCCAGTGTTCTTTTGGGGAATGATGTTATCAGTCAATGATAAACAAAGAAAATGATATTCTTTTAGTCCCCTTAATTAACTACTGGCTTAAATTATGAGTAGCTAATATCATGTATACTACTAATTAATCTAACTTGTGGTTGTGTGGTTTTATTGGATTAAGTGGATTAAATTTGGTGCAAATGCTTTATAGATATTGTCACATATATGTTTTTTTTAAACTTTTAATGTTAAATTAAAATTTATCTTTTAAAATTAAGATATCAAGAAAATGGACATACTAAGGGAGTTCCTGAGTTTGAACCTCCAAAACCCATAAGACTTCATTGGAATTTAAATCCAGCTTTAGATGTTATAGAAAAATCTTATCAAGTAATATTATCAGTTCTATTTCAAGTTGTATTTATAACTAATTTTTCTTCATTAATTAAATAGGTAGCTTTGGAATTAATTAATGATATTGATTTACGAATATTAGCATTTTCTGATTTTGGAAAAGGCTTTATGAAAACAGCAAAAGTCAGCCCTGATGCTTTTATTCAAATGGCTCTTCAGTTAGCTTATTATAGAGTAATTTTATCAATAATAAAAATACTAAAATTATAGCTTAATATTATTTGTTATTTAATTTAATTTATAATATTGAGTAACAGGATGCTGGAAAATTCAGTCTTACATATGAAGCTTCTATGACAAGATTGTATAGGGAAGGTAGAACTGAAACTGTCAGACCGTGCACACTTGAATCAAAAAAATGGGTTGAATCCATGTTAAACTCTAATGCTTCTGTATGTAACATAGTTAAAAAGAATTAGGCCATTGGCACACTAATCATAAGATTTGGCAATTAAGCTTTATGCTATTTTAAATTAAAATTAGATTAAAAATATTTAACTCAAAAAGCCACTAAAAAATTGTGAATACGTTTTTCGGGAACAATGTTATCATTATCCATGCTGAACCAATTCTGAGCACATTTTTTAATAAATTATAAATTTTTATAAGGAAATAAAAACTTACAATTCAGAACCTTAAAAAAATGGTATGATATATTGAATATAAAAAATGTCAAAAACTGAAAACCTGTCACTGACTAATACTGTTACCCTACCTTACTGTATTCACAATATAATTTCAAGTTTTATTCCTTTTGATGAATTGTGTTTTTCCATAAGGGATGCATACAGTTAATAGTGGTACGGAGTAGTGTCATTATTGGTAAATACCTCCTTAAACAATTTAAATGATATTGATGTGTATTATTTTTAAATTTAAAAAATTTTTATTTGAATTTTCAGTTTTTCATAAATATTTTTTGTATACTAAAACGAATTAAAAAAAAATTGTCTATTGTAGAGTTTTAGTTCTGGACACATGCTTTTTAAATGTTATCTTTAAGCAATTTTTCTCTCAGTTGTATATTAAAATTATTTTTGAAGTATATTTATTTATTTTATAATTCTTGCTTATCATTTCTAATAGTTAAACGATCGTATTGAACTACTGAAAAAAGCATGCGCTATTCATCAACGAGGATACCAAGATGCCATGTGCGGAAAAGGCATTGATAGGCATCTATTCTGTTTGTATGTGGTTTCAAAATACCTTGAAGTAGAATCACCATTTTTAAATGTAATTATTTTTGATAAAATTTTATATATTTCATTATATATAATATATATATATATATATATATGTATATATTGTTTTATAGAAAGTTCTAAGTGAGCCTTGGCGTTTATCTACATCACAAACACCACATGGTCAAACTAATCAGTTTGATTTGAAAAAATTCCCTAATTGTATTTCAGCTGGAGGTGGATTTGGTCCTGTAGCTGATGATGGGTATGGTGTTAGCTACATTATTGCAGGAGAAAACTTAATTTTTTTTCATATATCTAGCAAAAAAAGTTCACCTCATACAGTATGTTTATTTTATTTTACATAGTATTAATTTGTAATATGGCCAATTTAAAGTAATTTTTTGTTTTTGTTTAATAGGATTCTAATCGATTTTCTATTCATATCAGTAAAGCTCTCAATGACATGAGATCACTAGTGATTGATTGGGAAAAAAATTTTTTAAATAGTAATAACTGATATGACTGGAGCGAAAATATTACTTCTAATATGTTTTGGTTTTTTTGTGCTCTAGAAGAAAGATTTTTGATGATTAGATTATACATATTCGTTATTGTATTATTAACATAATTATTACTAATAAGTATTACTTATGTATTATCACAAAAAAACGTTAAGTATTTCATTTTTATTTAAAAATGACTCATTAAAGTTATGTTTTAATTATTGTTTTTATTTTGGTGGTATTGATTATTTAATGTTTTTATCCAAAATGTTATTTTGTTTAGTTATCTATTAAAATATATATGTAGTAAAAAAGAATTTCAAACAAATTTAGTATTAAATTCTTCAGTATTTTTTATTTTTTTTTGTTAAAAATTAATCTAATGTGATTTCAAATTATATTAGTAAAATTATGGTATAAATCAAAATTTAGTAATCAGAATAAGTATTATGTTAATAACTTGATGGTAATTTTTTAAACTAATTACTTGTAGTAGTGTTAAAACTATTGTTGACTATTTTACGTTTAGTAATAAATGATGAGGATTAACCTGTGTATTATTTTTTATTAATATCCTAAAATATCATAAAATATTATCTCATATAACAACACTAAATTATATACTACATGATTAATTTTTTCTAAACTATTATAATATTTAACTTAAAATATTAGAGTTAATAAGTACATTTAATTTAATAGTTAAAGTAATTTAATTAAAAAATGAAATAATTAAATATCACATTCAGGATTTTGAAAAAATAAATTTTATTAGTCGCATAGTGCAAAATGAGTGTTTTCCTAGGTCTCCTTTTAATATTATTTTAAATAAAAAATAAATGGCACTCTGGTATTTTCTTCAAAATTTTAGTAAGTTGTGAGGACATTAAATTATGGCTAATTTCCCCTTATGGTCAAAAATTGATAAAAAAAAAACAATCGTTATAGTATGACTTATAAATTTGTATAAAAATTTTTCTTGGAATCATGTGATGTAATTTATTTTTAATTTTGACTATTATGCAATTAATTATCATAAAATTTATGTAAAACTCTTGGACTACTCTTTTTTTGTATTTTCATATTACATCGTTTTTTAAAATAAAAATTTAATAATTGCAAATGATTCAAAATATCTAGATATCTCTCCGCTAAAATTACTAGAGCCGGATCTGTCGCTTGAAGCATTTTTTTTGTACTGGCAAATAAGACATGCATGAAGTGGCAATTTCTTATCAGTTTTTAAATGCGGTAACAACTCGGTTACTACACATCTTCCTTTATCACTACCTTCCAATGCTAGTAGCGCTAAAAATACTGTAAAAAATATAAATCCAAATTTGTTAAAACTACCTAATGAACTATACTTTAGATTAGGTTACGGGATTGCCACGAACTGATAATGCTCCGACATTTTAAAAAAATCCTCCGACAACAATTACTGCGAATACGTGGTTACAAAAAATTTGGATTTTACTACGACGATGATTATTCCGAATAGGACAATTAATTGATTGCTCCGAACATCGATTATTCGCGAAAACGATTAAAAAATTATGAAATTTCGGAGTAGATGAATATCGTAGCAATATATTATCTGATGGAAAAATATAACCCTTATCGCCAGGGGCATCATTTCAGTTTTTTTTTAGGTGTGCGGGATTTCAAGTAGGCCATTTTGAAATTTCATCAAGTCATTAAAAATAGATATACCTACTTAAGCTACTTATTCTTCTTTTAATTTTCCCATAAATAAGAATCACAATCAACATAATTAGTAAATATCCATTATAATATAATACTTACTATTTATAATTTATATTATTTATATAATTTATATTCATATTATATTTTCATATTATATAATACAACGTAGCGATGGGGTCGTAGCAATCGTTGAATTTTATATTTATCAGTTTAGTACTATATCAATTATTGCTGTTAACTGCGCGACAGAAAAATCGTGATAAAAACGGTAGCACAGTGGGGTCGTGGCATAGTTGGGTCAAGTATATATATCTGACAGTGATTTCAATCACTGTCATAAGAATCGCTTCGATGCAAATCTGTAGATAGTGTTTAATTCTAAAAAAATGATGGATTATTCCAAAAGCAAAAGTAACTCCTATTTTTTTTTCTACATTGACTACCAATTGATAATAGAAAATAGGTCGTTGGTACAAATTTTTTATTGAACTTCTATACATAAAATAAGCTTTATCTTAACATATATTTAAAAAACAAAGTATTTTCAAAAGTTAAGTTGAACTTTTTATACAAATTTTTAAGTTATCAAAAATTCAAAAAAGCATTTTGTATAAATTTATATGTAATATAAGTTAGATTTATGAAAATTTTATATTTATTGGCTGACTCATTGTTATAGAAAATCTTTATAAGACTATTTAATACAAGACGCTGCCACCGTGCATTACACGGATGCATAGATAAAAAAACTATTTAAGCTAATTCAAAAATTCAAAGTCACTTTTCTTAACTTTGAGGAGGTAAAATAATTGAAATAAGTTTATATTTATATTTAATGTGGAATGAGGGACTAGTAGATTTAATTAGTGAGAAAGAGGTATGAGAGACTGTGGCATCAATGAAAAAGAATGAAGCAGTAGGACCAGATAAAGTGCCAGTAGTACAGTTGGTTAGTAGATATATCCAAGTGAGACGGAGTTGATTGGCTATAATGACAATTGGCGATAGACGGGTCGTTGAATAAAACAAGTTAAGTTATAAATAATATAAATAAAACAAAAGTAATAGTATTGAAAACTATGTCTATAACGGCCACTCAAACACAACTGCCCTTTGATAGTTCGACGTTATTAGCTCCGGGCTACAGACGAGTAGAATTGCCACATCAGCATCTCTTTCAGCGCTAATTAATATGTATTACGAATTAAGTAAATGGAAATAAAACATGTATAATGTAAGTGGAAAGAACATAGTAATAAATGTTCTTACACTAGTAAGTCAACAATGTAGCCATTATCTTGCGTGAGGCAATCATCAGAAAAGTATAGGGAAAAGAAGAAAAAGCTGTTTATGGTATTTATAGATTTAGAGAAAGGTATGATAGAAAAGAGGTTTTAAAGTAGGCATTAATAAGAAAAGGAGTCCCGAAAAGATATATTAATATAATAAAGGATATGTATGATGTCACTTGTACCAGGGTAAAAAGCGTAGGAGGAGCAACAGAAGGTTTTCGGGTAAAAGTAGGAGTGCACCATGGTTTTGTTTTAAGCCCTTACTTATATTTTTTTAGTGATGGATGAAATTACTAGAGAAATACTAAGAGAGGTGCCGTGATACATGTTGATTGTTGACGATATAGTGTTAATAGGAGAAAATAGGGAGGAAATTAATCAAGGCTAGAGGTGTGGAGATCAGCTTTTGAAGAAATGAGTTTCATAATATGTAGGAGTAAAACAGACTATATAGAGTACGAGTTTAAGAAGAACATGAGGTAGGTGTAATTGCTAGCTGTCTTTTCAGTTTCGGTTGAGTGTCTTCCATATCATCCATGATAGATAACTTCCGGGTGGTATGTTTTCCTTCGGATCTTTCCATAGGTGCGAGTTTTGATCTTTCATTCCCTTCTTCCATAGATCTATTCTTATCTCTTTAGGTGATTGCTATAGGTTAATTGTTGTCTGTAAAAAGTTTTTCCTTGATTTGAGTCGGCTCCCCATAAGTTTAACTCCATATAAGGGATGTCTTATGTATGTTTCTTGTTTTGTTTGTTTACTGTTGCTGCTACCTTTTAGCTATACCGCATAATACTTGTACTTTCTGAACTGGGGTTGGCCTCAAGCACCCGGTAATTAATCTGTTAGTCACATTTAGGGCTACATACCTTTTTGGCATGTGCTGAGTTTTTCGATGTAGCGCAAGCATATTCACCCGTCGAGTAGCATAGTGATAAGGCTGTTGTTCTTAAGACCTAAGGGTCTGCGCCCCATTGAGAGCCAACCAGTTTTTGAAGTAAACAGTTTCTTGTTCCTATTTTATTTTTTGTGTTTTCACAATGACTTCTATATGTCAGAGCTCGATCAAGTTTATTGCCTAAGTATTTTGGTTCATCGCAGTGCTCTAATTCTGTGTCTTGCCAATTAAGTTTAATTTTCGTTTAGCATCTCTGTTTAGTAGGTGGAAACCATTCGGTTTGAGATAATAATTATTATTAGATTCGATAAAAAAATTCTAATGGGGCTGAAAGTTAAATTCTAAAAGACTGTAGTAAGACCAACTATTATGTAAGGTTCAAAGTGTTGGGCCATTGACAAGAAAGTATAGTAGAGGATGAGTGTAGCAGAGATGAGAATGCTTAGATGGATGAGTGGATTGACTAGAGAAGATAGAATAAGGAACGAGTATATAATAGGAAATATAGGTGTAGCGTCAATCGTGGATAAGAAGAGAGAAAATAGACTTAGATGGTTTGGTCATATTATGAAGAGAGAGGAATCGAAATCTGTAAGAACAATTATGAATATTAATTTTGAAGGAAGATGAGGTTGAGTGGACCAAAAAAGAGATGGAGGGATGCTATTGAATGCAATATTAGGAGGACTGATGTAAGTGTAGGTGATGTGGAAGATCGTGTCAAGTGAAAGTTTTGGGTAAGTGGCCGACCTCAAGTAGTTGGGATTAAGGCGAGGAAAAAGAAGAAGTAGAAGAAGAAGATTTATTTTTAATGTTAGTTAGATTAATGTAACTTTTATAAAAATTGTTGGACTTATTACTATGATAAACCCTTATAAGGTATTTTAAAATAAACAACAAAAATAAAATTTGAACACAAAAATAGCATGTTTCTTAACTACGGTATCCATTTGCATAAAAAAGATAGGTCGTCAAGACAATTAGTACGTAACATAAATTTAATTTGATATATGTTTAAAGAATACAATATTTCCGGGACATTTTCAAAAGTGAAGTTTAGTTTTGTGAAAGAGTTACTATTTTGAATATTTTCTTGCGGACAGGTAAAGGGTTAGATTTTCAAAAATATTTTATCAAATAAAAGGGAATTACTTAAGGTTTATATATAAAAATAATTATTTTTATTTGTTCATTTTTTAAGAAGTTATGCTACTATTTAGGAAAAAAGTGAAAAATGTCGAAATTTACCAATTTTAAAAATCGTAATTTTTTGAGGGATTTTTACTATTTACGGGGACTAGGGAAAATTTTTCAATTTTTGAGGGTAATGTCTTAACTAAATACGATTTGTGATCTTTTGACGTATCGTTGAGAAAAATCGGTCCAGTGTGAACTGAGAAAAAGTAATGATAGACACACACAAAAAAAAAAAAATAAACACATCATGGTAAAATTCTCAGATTGTTATCGAAGCTAAAACTGTTCCGAACATCAATATCAATACCAACATCTTGTGTCCGAATATTAATAGTTCAGTATGATATATTTATTGTTTATTCAATTAATTGTTA